TATGTTTAATATGCTGCTGAGAATATAGCCCAGAAGAAGCGTATAGTATAGCTTTTATTTTGGAAAGAGACATTTCTCTGTAATAAACTCTCTTTTTCCAAAGATGAGTGATTTCTCGATCAGATAGATAAATTTTTTTATTACTTTGTTGTTTAAGCAACATTAAATTTAAAAACTGTACTTTTGAGTTAAAAGCTATTATATTGAAAAAGATTACATGTAAGAGCCCCAGCGATACAGGGGTGGCTGTAGCTTAGGAGGTAGAGTAGGAACTCTACTACTTGGAAGGTTGTTGGTTCAATCCCTGGCTTCTGGAGTTTGCAAATATCCTTGTGCAAGATACTCTCCAACGCATCCATCGGAATGTGAACATTAGATAGCAAGCATAGAAGAAGTTCTTGTATGAATGGGTGAATAAGGCAAGTTGTATTAAGCACTTTAAGTGCTCAGAGTCAAATGGTACTATATATTAATCAGTCTCTTTGTTTTACACCATTGAGAGACATCCATCCATTCGCTTCCGCTTCTCCTTTTCAGGGTCGCGGGGGACGCTGGAGCCTATCCCAGCTGTCATAGGGTGAGAGGCGGGGTACACCCTGGACAGGTCGCCAGTCTGTCGCAGGGCCAACACACAGGGACAGACAACCATTCGCGCTCATTGAGAGACAAATGTTCTCAATTAAAAAAAAAAAAAAAATGTTTATTGACCTAATGTAAAAGCTAAACAGAAATGTTTTTAGGTGATAGAACTGTATTTTAAGTTAACCAGTTCTACTTTTTGGTCTTGCATTTCAAAAAGAGGCTTTGTGGGCATTGTGGTATTGTGGGGGTTGATGCCTATACTTGAATTGGCATCAACCCCCACGATGGCATTTCACACTAATGTCCACTTTAGGGGATTCTGGATGAAGAGAAGTCTGGTAGCACAGGTGCCTTATAAGTTTGTATTACTCTCCATTTTTCTCTGGCCTATAGCCCGACAATACTTTTATATAGATTCAGAGTAATTGTACTGGTTTTATATAGAGTACACACAGCAACTGAGACAGATTCACACACATTAACAAATAATGAGACTGCACTGAAAGTGAGAATTTTGTGTGGATCACCTGTACTGTCTGAAGACAGGCAATTCAGAGCGAGAGGTCTCCTCGATAAGTGGTGTCACAATATTTTCGATCATTTCTGTCAACACAGTGAATGTTGGCTCCACAATGAAATCAATGAATCCTACAAAAACAGACATTCATAATTGGCACAGTTTTTTTTAAATTCTCCCACTTAATTCAAGAAACAAATGTTTATTAGAGCCTTCTATATTACACACAAAAATTGACATTTATAGTTAGTTTCATCATGTGAATAATCACATGGAAGAAGGAAGCAGAATCATAGATTCATCACATTTTCATGAAGTTAGGGACAAAAATTCCTGATCAAGCACCAATTATTAGAAGCCCCTAAGAGAACAACAAATTGATCATGTATAATTACAACCTGTAATGCAAACTTTAAATGGTAAATGTCCTGTATTTGTATATCGCTTTACTTAGTCCCTAGTGTAAAGTCCCTAAGGACCCCAAAGCGCTTTACACTACATTCAGCCATTCTCCCATTTATTCACATTCACGAACCGGCAACCTTCCGATTACAAGCCACGATCTCAAGGTCACAAACCTAGCGAACTGGCCCATGCAACACTTGATGTGAGGTCTTGGCTTGCCTCATATGTGACATGTCTAAAATAAATGCACCATAACCAATGTTCCCTCTAAACTGTGCGCGTGTGCAATCTGTGCCCACTGCTCGCACGGTCTCTGCGCACAGAAAATCTGCGTTGCCCACAAAAATAAAAATCTAACCTGAATTAAAATTAAAATAAATACGTTAACAATTCATTCTGTTTTGCAGTGTGAGTCAGTAAGTGACCAGCGACTGGCTGCTCCAGCCAATGATGCGATTCACATTCATATATACGCAGCTAATCAATATAGTTGACAGGCTATGACAGCGTCCTTATGTGCCGACACTGGTGTTTTAGCTAGCAAAGCGTTGTGGCTGATGTGGAGTGAAGCCACGTTAATGACAACGTGTACAACCATTGGAGATGTGAGCAGGACAGACGGAACAATTGACGGAAAACATGTGGACTTTTTACCAGTTTTTAAATTGTGTTGATCGGCCACGTAAAAACAGAGTTATGATAAAAAAATATCTGCAATGTTTGGTTTTTTCTGAATACTATCGTTGTTTATATTTACTGCGGGAAGAAATGGTAAAAATAGCGTTTTATAAGGAAAGCGCTCAAAACCGCTCTCCGCCTGTGAGCAAAACCAAAACTAAAAAACCCCACACCCTTTCCTATTAGTGGAAAATGTACCATGTCAACCAACAGAGATGGGCAGTAACGCATCTCTGTTGGTTGACTGTAATCTCTGTAATCCGATTACTCGTTACTTGAAAGAAGTAAAGTAAGGGATTACTATAGCAAAAAAGGTAATTCGATTACTGTTACTTTCCCGTAAGCACGCTGCGTTACTGCGTTACTAAAACTGTGATTTTTTTGCGAGAGTGTCTCACAACAATGACGTAAGCGAATGCAACATTCGTGGCAACAGCTGTGTGCAGATAAACAATGGATAATATATCGAGTGCGGGAGAGAGTATGAGCTTTTTTCAAGTAACTTGACTAACACTGTCGACCAATCAAAAAATGATATGGTAACATGGCATTTAGTTGTTTAGGAAGGGGGGGAAGTTTTAGGAGTTATGGCGGTGTTTTCAGATGTGAGAGATTTGCGCCGTTTACTCATAATACAAGTCAGAGCTTTATAAAAAAAAAAAAGAAAAAAGAAAATTGTGTTTTCAAAATTGGAGTTCAAGTTATTTTTACCAATAGTGTTAACATACTACACAGGTCATGAAGAAGACTTTTTTTAATTTTCATAAGTAGGCTAAAGCAGTTAATTAAAAGTAATCTAACATAAATGTAAATGCTGTAATTTGATTATTTTAATAAACCATGTAACTTGGATGGATTCGATGCTGGCGTGACCACAGTGCACAAGTCTAATGTTGCTCATAGTGGTCCAAGGGACCGCTCAGGGAGTTTGTGTGTTTGCTCAGATACATGAAAAATTAGAGGGAACATTGTCCATAACCAGAGGTTATTACAAGGTAGTATTGCCGGGTGGGGAAAAACAATTTACAACATAAATGGTGGTGTATCAGGGGCTTCTGTTCAGCTCCACTGAGTACAGGGGCCTAAGTAATAGCGGTGGGTGTATTTATACTACTTTTATAGGACTGATATTTTACTTTTCTGCATTATTTTCAGTGAGTTGCTCTTGTTCAGAAACATGTCTGTCAAAAATATTGCTTATCTAACGTACGCGCACTTTGATCAGCCCTTCCTCCTGTCTCTACTGTGCTTATGTCTTGATGCAGTAGCAGAGACTGCTAATTAACTACTACCAATCCACAATTGAGAGCCTTCTGGACTACTGCTGCACACTCTGGTTCAACTTTTATACTGTGGAGGATAAGAGGAAGCTGCAGCGGGTGTTAAATTGCTGGCTGTCCAAAAAATGGTGAGAGCTTTATAAATGGTATATTTCAGCTGAACAGCTGAGAAGCTCATTGGAGCCTCTCTTACCTCCAAACTGTGAAACAGTTTCTTCTCCCAGACTCTTGAACACTCACAGACTGGACTGACACACATAAACATAACCTTATACATTTCATTACATTTATACAGTCTTAGACAGTCTTAGACTGTATAAATAACTGTATACTGTATACGGCACTGTATAAATACAATTTAATTGAAAATTGAAACTGAATTGAATATAAACTCTTTTGACTTACTAGTATTTTTGTTTCATGATATTCAGATTCCACATTTATCTGTAGGCACTGCAATTCTTCCATAAATGAACTTGAAAAAATATTATTATATTCACTTGGCTGTTATTGGTCACTGACTGCTGCTTGACAAAACTTAAAATCCAAAATATATCCAAAATATGCTAATTCTTTAGAAAGAAGCATTAACTGTATTTAAAAACTTTACCTATTTGGGACTGGGCCACCATGGTGGATTTGCGGTCACAAAGAGGGGAGAAAGGTAGACCCAGCTCTGCTTCCCTATCTCCCTGAAAACAAATGACACCGCTATGTTTACAAAGACAGTTGGCCTCAATAATGTACACTGTAATTCAAATTTGGAAGACTTTATTTATCCCCAAGGGGCAATTAAGAGAGACTGACCTTGCCGACCGTACATACAATACACAAACATCACATTGGGGAGACAGGTCAGGCTAGACAGCTGTTACTTTAGCTGGCCGGTCAGCCGCACGAGCAGTGACCCGGAACCGAACAATGGCAAAATACACAACATCAGGAAGGACAAGGAGAAAAAAGAACTCCCTCCAGACTGAGCTCCCACTGGGATATCAGTTTGAGAACAGAAAAAAAACCTCCTCAGCGCATAGCACATGAAAAACTCTTAATACACCATTGAAACACATGACAAGCAACAGGGAAAGGTAAAAGGTGAGAGACAGCCAGTGTAGACAGCGCATCCGGGCCTGCAGCATATGCGCTGGTCCCCTTTGATCCACCGTCTGCATTGGGAGGGAATAAGCATCGAAGCCGTTTGGAAGGGAAGGGGGGGATGAGTGTATATCTGAGGTTATTATGCGTACAACTAACCAATGCAATTTCCCTGAAACACTGTTTTTAATTCTATTGAATTAGAAAAGTAATGAAGTGACTTAAAAACCTTCATAAAATAAAAGTTCTTTTATTTTATGCTTTTTATTAGACACTATGAACTGAGACGGAATGCAAGCCTCCTCTGAAAACCTCATCGACTGAAATGGGAAACAGACTCCACCACAATAGGAGACTAAACAAAATGTTTGTACCTGGCAAGAAAAGTTTCTATTTTGTTATGTCAAAGCATAATTTTTTCACCCTATGTCTAGTTGGCTGTTGAAGAGTAATGTTATCTGCATGGTCAACTACTGTGGTCAAATAATTAAGTTGCAATAACATTACTCATAGCTTTCTGAAATACCGTATTCAGCTGTAATACAGCTTGCACATGTGAAGTGTTTAAGTTTAATTAAAGAACTGCAGTAGATTAATATTCCTATTTTTGCAGTCAGTCCTAAACATTGATTGTTTTCCTGTCTGTGACTGTAGTGTAATTGCAGATGCAGATTACAGCAAAACAAAGCTCAAGGTTTTTTTTATTTGTTTGTTTCTTTTTTGGCAGCATATGAAAACTTCTAGGGTCCTTACTTCAGTAGATGGGCAAGGTGTAAATAAGTCTGTACATACTTCTGTTCCATTTTTGACTTGATGATTGAGTGGTTATTTCATGTCACAGAAATTTTGTTTGAGCATGTGTGTGTACAAGTATATCCAGCTATCTGTGTATATGTATATATTGGTTTGTTTGTTTTATGTGTCCAATAAAAGGTTATCATCATTATAGTATGGCTCCCACTTCCTTTACACAATAAAGTGTCAATGGAGGGACTAGGAGGTAGGTGCTAATTTTTCAGGTGACTACCTGTCTGAAGAACTCCTCAAGCAGGGATGTTGTCCAGCGATGATGGAGGTCCCAGCATTTGGCAGGGTGGCTGATGTCAGCAGTGTGCAGCAGCAATGATAAAGCCTTTGGTTTGTCAATCCTGTGAATAAAGAGTAGTTAGTCACTGGTGGGTGTAAACAAACAGCAGCTGTTCAGCTCCCAAAGAAAAGTACATTAAAATTGGGTAAGTATGAGTGTACTTTTCGAGTGCAATAAAACTTCCAAGAGTAAGATCTAGAGAGAAACCATGATTGCTAAATCAGTTTCATCTTTTCCAAGGGAAAAAAGAATTATTGAAAGTAAAGCTAAAGATTGGCCATTGGCTTTTGGATATAGAGACTCTGTAAATAAGATCAAAATTTTCCTGATTTTCAGCAAACATCCATCAAATATGATAGCTACACATTAATGTTGCTGACAGTATTTAAAAAAATATCTTTATCCCAGTCTTTCATACATTACTGCTGATTATAATAAGAGTTTGGAAGCCATTACTCACGCCTCAGACTGCTGCAGGAAACTTTTCATGGCTTTGATCTGCTGAAAGTGGCAGGACATGTCAGTGGCCAATACCATATCCACTACTAAGGCTCGCAGTTCCCTGAAAAAATAAATATAGAAAGTAAAATATTCCAAAAATAGAAATGATAGCAATCTGAAAGGATTAGGATTCATTAACTGAATCTGAAATCTGTCATTTAACAGAATTTTTCATAAATGATACAGTATTTTCCTGTTATTTTTAAATATGTGAAATATCAACACGATTATTTAAAAAAAAACTGTCAAAGTCTGTAAATTAACATGAGTAATGAAAAATAAAATAAAAAACTGTACCTGTAAATAAACATGTTTTACATTTTTAAATAAACTTTTTACACAGAAAAAGAGTGCAAAAATACAGTTGCAAGTTTAACATAATTTCATATATATTTACCTTGTTTATTTAAAAGATAAAACTGTTGAATTCTAATTTTGTGAAAACTTATGGAACCTGAACTGGAAATATAAACTAGGAATAGGAAACGCTGGGAAACATGAGAAAAGTAAACTCTTAGGAGGTAACAGGAGGTAACTGATCCTTGAAATACAAGGACCAGGACTAAGATGCATGAGCTTGACTTAGAGTTAGACAATGAGACATGACTGACTGGCACAGGAGGCATTGACATAATAGATAAAAGAGATTAGGATAGACTGGAGACAAAAGGGTACTAACACAATCAAACAAGAATCAAGAACAAGAAATATAGATAACAAAAGCACTATGAAGTACAAAATTAAGACCAAATAATCCAAGCACTGAAGAAAAGTTTCTTAAATTGAAAAGTCCACAACAGAAACTCAAAAACTGGGACAGGACCATGACAGATGTGGAGCAGCTACACAAACTGAGAATATTTGAATACTGTTTACCTCCACTCTTCCTTTGAAAGATTAGAGAGAATATTCATTTCCTCATTATCATGTAGAAGGCGATAGACAGCGCTGACGTGATGGTTCTCCAAAACAGCTCGGTCATTGTAAAATAGTGCCGTGTCTGACCTGCAAATGACACAGAACATTAGTCATCGCAGAATTTTTTTTCTTGTTTGGTTATATAGATCGATCGATCGATAGATAGATATAGATCGATAGATAGATAGATAGATAGATAAAAAAAATAGATAGATAGATAGATATCTATCTATCTATATCTATCTATATCTATCTATCTATATCTATATCTATCTATCTATATCTATCTATATCTATCTATCGATCGATCCCGGGAACAACATCGGAGATCTCTGTCCAGAAGAGCAAGGTCCTAGGAACGATACTGCGCAGGTCCCTCAAGCTCCCAATGACCCGAGCTTGAAGGATTGACCGCCCACAGGGGCAAGCGGGGAATTTTTTTTAATTTTTTTTTTATAAAAACAATATTATGTTTATCAGATTATCATATGTGATGGAAATTCCTTTTTAATTTATGTATTGATAACGTGTTCTGACAATAGCATATATACCTGAAACTATAGGTATGTGCTTTGGTAAATGGCCTGTATTTGTATAGTGCTTTACTAGTCCCCAAGGACCCCAAAGCGCTTTACACATTCAGTCATCCACCCATTCACACACTAAGCTACAGTGTAGCCACAGCCACCCTGGGGCGCACTGACAGAGGCGAGGCTGCCGGACACTGGCGCCACCGGGCCCTCTAACCATCAGCAGTAGGCAACGGGTGAAGTGTCTTGCCCAAGGACACAACAACCGAGACTGTCCAAGCCGGGGCTCGAACTGGCAACCTTCCGATTACAAGACGAACTGCCAACTCTTGAGCCACGATCGCCCACTTTATTCCACATGGTTAAGTATTGTAGAGTAGGTTAGATATAGACAGGGACACCCAGGCAACATTAGACAATAGACAGCTAGAGAGACCCCTCTCTGGTCCTTCAGGACGGGGGGGGCTCCCTGGAAGGGCGTTTTACAAGTAAAATTATTTACGACTTTTAAATAACACTAGATCCCCTCAGAAACTGCAATAATTTGAATGTTGCTCAGTAGGAATTACCTGGTCTGAATATGGAAGTTATTAGTAGTCCCTGTATGCTCATAGTCATGGATGGCAGCTGCAAAAATAATGGCAAAGATCTCCAGCTCAGTTAGCCAGTGCTGAAAGAAAGTGAGATGATGCATTTTGTATGTAGTAACAAACAAACAAGCAATAAATATGTATATAATATTGCTTTGCACAATTGTTAATATAAAAAAAAATTCAATAGCCACTTAAATCTAAGGCTTCAGGAGTTCTATGTTTAGAATTGCTTTAAAAGTATACTGGTCTTTCTTGAACTGCAAGATTAATGGACTCCCCAAAGACAAACCTAAAGAATGATCAAAATCTGTACAAAAAAGACCGACTATTGGATTGCAGCAGTGTTTCCCCTTTAATGTTTTATCAGGATGTGGGGTAGTTTTAAGGTTTTAAATGTTGTGGCTTGCTAGCAGGTCATAACAGTAAAGAGAAAAAAAAGAGTCCATTACTTCAAGATATGAAAAAGTCTCTCTTTGAGAACTCGAAAGAAGCAAAGCAGTTTTCCTGGTTACATTTTAAATCACCATTAACCAAGCAAGACTTACCATTATTCCACTCTTAATGAGCAGGTAATGGACCGTTTGTGTGACATCAGCAGCATGTATCAAGTTGTGGTAGGGGTTTTTGTATTTGCTGTATCCCATTTCCAGTGACTCCACAAATGATGTGAGTGCAGAGGTAGGAATCTGATATTGAGACAATGCAGGAGAGAAGCATGATGACTGCAAAATTAAGTCGTATATGATTACATCACTTTAAAAGATAACGCCACATAAAAAACAAAACAAAAAGTCATTTATAGTATGTATGGGAATTTTTTTTTTCACAAGGTTATTAAAGTATTGCACTTCTTAAACAAAAATGCAGACCTTGTTGTTTTAGAATTAGAAATTCCATTTAAAACTTAAAATAATATGAGAGTCAATCATTTAAATGATACATGGAAGCTGTCTTTATTTGAGTTTACCTTGAAACGATTAATCAGGTTATATCTGTTGAGCAGTTCAAAGAAGACAATTTTCAGAGCATGGTTTCCGCTGGCATCATTCAGTGCAAACACATCAAACGACCACATATCTACATGCTACAGACACATAGAAACCAGTTTTATTATCATTTGAATAACATAAACGAGTGTGTCCTTGTGTACCTTGTCTTACCTAAGTCATACACAAAATGGCAGTTTTTGTTCCTGCATATTAGTAAGGTAGATAGAAAACTTTTTCCCTGGCCTTAATCTGTTAACTCTCTATTGTATAACTTGCTCATGACATTTTAATACTGAGATTAAAACTGAATGCAGAATCACATACATGTCACTGATTTTATTTTTAAAGAAATCACCAAGTACATGTGCATTTATACCTTAAGCATAGTGATGACATCTAGGGAATAACTGAGACCAGTCATGTTGGAGGTTCGTCTGAACATCCTGTAACCCACAGACAAAAGTACACAGCAACACAAGCACACACCAAATGAACTAATGCACTATGCCCAGTATAGTAACTCATTTATTAATTTGAATATGTTACATTTATTTTGGAGAAGGAATAATCAAAGGCAATATTTTTTTTTTTTTAAAAAATCCATCCCCAAAACAGAAGATCCCCAGAGTTTTGAAGCAGTACTGCAATATTAGGCCAAATAATAAAGAAAGATTAACTTTTGTTTATTCTAAATTGTTATTCAGTCTAAGGGGCAAAATAAATATTCTATTAAAACCTTGTCAACCTCAATTTTTTTTACCATTTCATTTTCTATATTGATAAAGTAATGTTTATATTTCTGGCATTACTTCTATAATCTGCGTAATTTATTTTGAGAATAATATGTGTTGTACTGAGTGGTTCGGATTGGCTCCCAAGCCATTCTAATATAATATCTGTTGACCTGAGTTGCGGCCATAATATGCTATTCAAAGGTAAAAGGGTAATTCAAAGCTATTACTAGATACTAAATAGATTTTCTCTGATCACTCCAGTATCCCAAGAGCTCAGAGACAAGTTGTTAGGTTAACTGCTGATTCTTAATTAACTTTTGGGATGTAAGATAGCTGAAGAACATCAAGATAGATTTAAGATTAATTCTAATTGGTGGATGTGACTGGTAGTGCAACAAGTGTTCATCAAGTCTAGAGAAATGATATATATGCCAGTCCATTTCTATTGTTTGTGTCTTATCCATGGAAAC